CTCTCCAAGGCAGATTGCATTTCACAAACATCACGGAAACGTTCAAATGCATGAAAGTGAATAAATCATGCAGAGAAACTGCATGCCCCATCATATATCTACATTGAATATCAACCTGTAGTTCAATTGGGCTTGATTTCTGCCCCCCTCGTCTTTCCTACCACCACGGGTTATTTTAAAATCAATCCCATACATGCTATATGAGTATGTATAGGAGATTGTGTTAAAAAAAAAAAAGACCAAACGGAAAGCCTTACCAATGGCTCTCAGATCTGTTGTATTCACCCATTCTGTTGGCTCGTGAAATACTTCAGGCATTCCCAAAGCCAGGACTGGGCTGCTGGGGTGGCTGATTACGGGGATGATTTTTTGAGTTTCTAGGTAGGTGACAGTTATCCAGCCCTGTGGGAGAAGAAACTTTTGCAGGTGACTCCAGGTGTGTGGCAAGGAAGTGTACCAGGCAGTGTGATGCCCTGCAGTGCATATCAGGTCACTGTATGCACCCTATGGCAAGTCCCAAGATGAGCTTCCTCCAGATGTGTATACTAGTGTGCTAGAGGAAGCCCATACTCTCTTCACCTTTTCACCACCTGCCTTGGATATCTGATACTAGGCCCTGATACTTGGAGACTGCATGCCCCACCATGAGATACCAGTTCCCCCAAGCTGCCCTCCCCAACTGGTGATTCCTGAGGTTTAACCCTTTGTTAAGGAAAGAAAGGGAATCGGTAAATAAATAACTCCCTATGAGAAGTGACACTTTGCACCACTACATGAAAGCCACAGATACACCTTTCAGGGTTGTAGGCGTGTTCAGGGAAACCTCCTGACCCTGCTAAGGGTAAAGCAGAGGTAGGGTGGCTGGTATGGTCTTACAGAAGACTGCAGAAGTTGAGGACCAGAACTGGAAACAGTGGGCACATGGCTAAATGCTGTTTAAACTGATACCAGAAACTTAGTCCCTTAACTCTTAAGTTTTTCATTATATCACAGAGCCTGGTTTTATAAAATCTTTGTAAAGGCAGAATCAAATAGGTCAGTCAGCCCTGGCCAGGTGGCTCAGTTGGTTGGAGCGTCATCTCATACACCAAAAGTTTGTAGGTTCCACCCCAGTAGGGCACATACCTAGGTTGCTGAGGCCCATACCAGAGGCAACCAATCCACATTTCTCCTCTCTCTCTCTCTCTCTCTCTCTCTCTCTCTCTCTCTCTCTCTCTCTTCCAAATCAGAACACATATCCTTGGGTGAGGATAAAAATCAAATAGGTAAGTCACAGGGCTACTTCCGACATGGCAAGGAGCAGAGCTTCACAGACGCACTCCTACTCCTGAGTGAAACTAATGAAAATTATTTCAAAATCAGCCATTTAAAGTCTCTGTAATGATGCTAAGGTAATAACTACAGTAAGCAAAGAAACATTTATTTAAGAAAGCCTACTCTGAAGAGCAATTTAAAAAATCTATCAAAATAAAACTCAGCCTTTGTATGACTCCCCCCAAAAAAGAAGGTCTATTAAAACACCAGTTCTTCATGGATTTGACCTGATTTGCATTTGGAGGGCTGTGACTTTGGGTTTGCCTTTGCCTTTTGGTTGTTTTCCTTGTTTACAATGTGTGCATTTGTGCTTACACAAAGGTCTTGGAATCTTATATGCGGAAAGATATGAAAACGTGTATGCCCTGTATTTGTATCCTACAGGCTGAAGGCAGTAGTCACAGGCTGACTGGTTTGTCTAGCAGGCAGCTTTTCTCTGAGAACTTTCCTCTGGAGAAGGTTTAATGGCCTCTGAAATGGGAGTAATCTTCTTTTCCGTATTATTTAAGCCAGCAAGCATTTACAGAAGCCAGAAATAGCAGGGTTAAAATTTCAAACAGCAGTTTTTATATAAGATGGATGCTTCAGTATAAAATTTCCAAGTGATAAAATTGTAGTCCTCTGTACAGCTTAGCATGGTTTAAACACGCATCAACTTAGCTTATCACTGTGGTCATGAAAATCTCCCCCACGAGAAACGAGAACAATACTGTGATAGTCTGTCCTGCCTGAAGGTATGCCACGCTGGGTGGTTGGGCATGCGTCTCTCCCTGAGATTTCATGAAGATCCTGGGCCGCAGGTGTCAGCAACTCTGTTGTTGCCATCCAGTCTCGAGGGGCCCAAGATACAAATGGGGTTCCTCAGAATACAGAGTTCAAAGAACCTCCTATGATCCCCCATAACATTTGGAACTTTATTAAGCTCTGTGCCTTAAGAATTAGTTGCCATTAGGCCACGGGCTACTCCCACCCAGGTACATAGCTCACTCTCCCACCCAACCAGTATACTGTCCCCTCAGTGTGTGTCCCTCTCTCTCTAGTGATTGTCAGAAATGCTGTTCTGGGTGCTGAGCAGTTTGTAAGGGACTGTAAGGGACTGGAGAGTTAGGTGAGCAGATGGTCAGTCAGTGACATTTAGGGTGTTCTTACTCACCAGACTGTATTTCACAGGTGTCAACAGATGGCCTTCCCAAGCTTGTGATTCGAATCCAGCAATGAATCTTTGTCACAACTCAGATGTGACTTGGATGCCTGGCTCCACTGGCTGCCCAGCCAAGTGTATGGTGTCTTCCCTCAGCTGTTGTAGATTCTCTGGGCTGTCACCATCCACAAGCCAGGGAGTACTCAGGGCTGGTTTACCTGCCACCCTAATGCCCCCAGAGAGGTTTTAAGTGGCAGCCTGGTTAGAGGGGTCTGGGGAAAGAGACATTACGGGGTTGTGTGTATGTGTGTGGGGGCGGGCGAGAGCGGGGGGATGAAGGGGTGTTGTACACCCTCAAAGGAAAGGTAGGACCTGCAGTGCAAGAACTGAAAGAAAGTCGTGGGAGACTCAGGAGACTCCCATCTGTTTTCTGATTTCGGATCAGCAAGTACAAACAAACCGACACACATACAAGCACATAAAACAGGGAGGTTGGTTGTTGGCTTGTGACAGTAAGCTGAGACAATCATAGGGGTCACCTCATGTGTGTTTGTTTTCCTTCACTCTTAAGGAACACTACCCTGACTGCTTGATGTCCAATGTCAGAAAACTGTTGTTCCATATATGTTGAATGTTTTGTTTAACTTGTGAACAATTCAGGTAGGTGCACAAGAGATATTTTGCACTTGAAAGGTCATGGGGACACCAGGCACTGTTGCAACTCAAGGAAGTGGAGGCAAATTTGCTGTCACCGTATTGGTATGGGGCAGAAGCTGGCTCTGTAGCTCATCTAACTCCAGCTGCATCTCCTCCATCAGCTTCTCCAACTCGGGAGGAAGCATGCGCACCCCCTGGGGCAGTGCCTCCATCCATACCTCCTCTATGTACCCACAGAGGGGAAATGAGCATCTTTAAGATGTTGTGCCATCCTGTCTCAGACCTGTGTATGCATTTCTGTTTGCCCGAATCTTCTTTAGCATTTAAAAAAATTTTTTAAGTGGCTTTTACAGTTTTTCAAATATAATCCTATTTCTTTTTACTTGCTTTTCTGAGTTGAGTCATTAACACCATTATGTATTATAACTGGCTGTTTTCTGCATATATAAAAGCTTGTGAAGGATTTGTATTAATTTTGTACTCAGCCAACAAATGAATCCAGATATAACCTTTAATAGTTAGATTCCCCTCCTTCAATTGGTCAGTCCCCTAGTTGTTCCTTTCCTTTATCTTCACTGTGGAAATTAGCAACGTCATGGTTGGAAAGCATCCAACAACTCTTACTTTTGACTTTCCGTTTCGGCGCCAAGAAAGAAGATACCCACTAAGAAGGGCTCCTGGTGGCTAACTGGGCTCAAATTAAAAACAAAAACAGAGACTAGCAGCCATTTCTACACAGGGGCCTGTCAGGAAAACTGCACTTCAGGGAGAAACCTACATTGAACTGCCAGCTTGCACTGTGTTCCTGCCATCTGAGCCAACCCTTATAAAGTAGTGCTGGAATTGTATTTCAACCAATAGGACTGAGACTTTCCCCTTCTAATCCGGAGCTGCCCCAGCTATATCCCTCATCAGCATCTTCACCAACCAATCAGTGGTTCCATTAGGACCAATCAAACTGGGAGGATTTGGCATCCTCATTTGCATGAGGACAGACTAATCGGGGACCAGGGGTGGGGACTTCTGTCTATATACTGGTAAGTCAGCTCCCCTCTGCCTGGGAGAGAACACTTTCCTTTTTGACTGAACATTTGGTGTTTCCCTGGCTGCAGGTGAAACACCAAAGATGAAACACAAAAGACAGAGCAGAGCAGGGCAGGGCAGAGCAGTCTAGCTGGAGAGGGGCTTTGCCCCAGGGCCTCCTCAGAGCCCTGCTGTTTCATAATTGAGCTGTAATACTACTGAGCTATTCCACAGCCCTGGTGTCAGAGCCATGTTGTATCACAGTTGAGCTGTTTGCACTGAATAAATTTTCCTTCTTCCGCGCACCCCAATGGGGGATTCCTGTTGGTTTTGAATTGGTGCCAAGGACCATTGGTTGACAATCCTCTTTGGCCTCTTAATTTAGCCCTTTAAATGATAAGAGTTTTCTTTTTATTTAACCCTCTTTCCTTTACCTGGTCATGGTGCATTTTTTTAATACCCTCCTCTGGATTATGTTGGCTAACCTTTGGGGTTTGTCAATTTCGGTCCAAGGCCCCCACATCTCCAACCACAAGGGCAATATTTCTCTGGCTGAGGGAGAAATCCATAAGAAGGGAAATGTGTTCACAGAGTCCAAGGTCAGCAAAGGTTTTCCTGGGTCTGAGGGCCTGAAGGGGTGAAAAGCCAGGACGCCTTCCCTCCTCCTCCTCCTCCTCCTCCTCCTCCTCCTCCTCCTCCTCCTCCTCCTCCCCCTCCTCCTCCTCCTCCTCCTCCCCCTCCCCCCCCCCCCCCGG